TTTCAACTAGCCATTGTGTAGAGCACAAAGGAAAATGGGAGATTTTTGCACCGTACCTTGTGCAAGCCTGTAAAAGTGTTGACTATACTGTTCAGAAGATATGTCTAGAGAAACGCCTTGCTGTTATTTGTTAACATGAGGCTTCTAGGTGTAATGAAATTACAGCTAAGATGCATTATTCTCCCTGAAAATATAAAAAAAAAAATCCAAAAAGAGCTTAAAATGAAAAGAGATAAAAGAAAATCATCTCCCTATTCAGGCAGGAAATAGAGAAACGGAAATTAAGTAATTTACCCAAAGTTAAACTTGAAACAAGTACAAATTGAAACTAAATATTCCAGAATGATTAGTTCTGTAAATAAGTACATAGAGAAGACAATAATGTTGCATTTAACAGCTTTGATAAAGGGAAAAGAATAAAGACTACACAAGTTATTCACTTGCTGCAAGAAAAGATGACAGTAATATCTTTGCACATCTCTGTATACAATCCCTTTTCTGTAATGAAAGGATTTCTTCTTTCTTAATATCCATTCCAGTTAGTGAGACAGGCAGTCTGAAAGACATCTTTACTTACATTGATATTCCTCTAAAGAAAAAAAAAATCTGACATTTTAACAGAGATGAGCAAAACAGTATTATTAATTCAGGCTACAGCCCACACTAACCAAGTCTTTATTGAAAGTATCATAAGGTATTAAATGGTAAACAGTGGTGGCATTTCACAATATTTGCCAGCAGCCATCAAGTTTTTAATTTTTCAGAGTTAATATCCAGTTGCTCTTTTTTTGTCATAACTCCAAAAACCTTAAAACCAGCTTTAAACCAATACAGATAAATACACATTTACCTAAAAGTTAACACAAAAGGCCAAAACCAGCTCTTCTCTAGTCATTGAGCAACTTGTCTATTTGAACTACCAATAAGCTTGTCACCTCTATGACTAAAGTTTATCATTTTTTTCCCCTTTTGTCTGCATATTGAGGGAAAGAAAGAAAAGGACATCAAAGACCTATAGAAAATTTAAAATGGAAGATAAATAGATGTCAAGGTTATTGCCTGCTAATAAGGTATCTCAACAGAGCACAAGAACAAGAGATCCAATTCAGCGACAAGCATGAGATGAGCCAACACACACCAAGGAAAGCGTAAAGCAAGTATACTTGAGCTATGCACTTTCAACGATCCCAGCTCCCTGAACAGTGATTATCCTCCACTAGGCTATGCTCATGCTAATTGTTTTCTCTGCCTCTAAGCATGTCTTTTCTAGATAGAGACAAGAAATCCAGTAGATGAACACAAACTTCTTCCAACAAGCTGAAAAAAAATAAAGTCAGACTGGGCTGCATCCAAAGAAGCGTGGCCAGCAGGTCGAGGGAGGTGATTCTGTCCCTCTGCTCTGCTCTCGTGAGACCCCACCTGGAATACTGTGTTCAGCTCTGGAGTCCCCAACACAAGAAGGACATGGAGCTACTGGAACGAGTCCAGAGGAGGGCCACGAAGATGATCCGAGGGCTGGAGCACCTCTGCTATGAAGACAGACTGAGAGAGTTGGGGCTGTTCAGCCTGGAGAAGAGAAGGCCCCAGGGTGATTTATTGCAGCCTTCCAGTACTTAAAGAGGGCCTACAGGAAAGCTGGAGAGGAACTTTTTACAAGGGTATGTAGTGATAGGACAGGGGCAATGGATTTAAACTTGAAGAGGGTAGATTTAGATTGGATATAAGAAAGAAATTTTTCACTCTGAGGGTGGTGAGGCACTGGAACAGGTTTCCCAGAGAAGTTGTAGATGCCCCATTCCCTGGGGGTGTTCAATGCCAGGTTGGATGAGGCTTTGGGCAACCTGGTGTAGTGGAGGGTTTCCCTGCCGATGGCAGGGGGGTTGGAACTTAGATGATCTTGAAGGTCCCTTCCAACCCAAACCATTCTATGATTCTATGTTTGTGAAATTACCTACACACAAAGAAATATGAAAGTTTCAGTTACAGCAACACTGGAGTGTTGTTTCTATCTCTTGCTTTTTTCCTTAATAACTCCAATTAACACCTCCAGACAGCCTGTCAGCAGAACTATATTGCCTAGTCATTATAATTCCACACAAAGCTCAAGTAATAAAGCAGCAGTCGGCTTTTTTTCTTTTTAAAGAGAAAATACTGCATTTATATTTTTGAATCACTGCCAAAGAGTATCCAAACATCAGATATTTTCTTCTCCCTCTGTCTTTCACACAGAACAACATGAAGTATCCAAAAAGCTCTAAATAACTATGTAGATAAGGAATCCCCAGAAGGACCAGAGGCAGAACTGCTCTGTAGAATCATTCCGTATTTAGTGTCTCGGGGCAAGCGTAAGGTGACCAGAGCACATCAGGACATCCCTAGCAAATCTAAAGGCTCAGGGCGACTTTGCAGCCTGTACACGAGATTAGATTTACATCAGAGATCGTGTTGTGTCTTGGGAACAGCTTGGGGCAGAAAGTGCAAAGCTTACTTGAGGTCACAGTGCTGCACTCAGCTGTTGCATCAAGAGCAGTCCTGAGCCTCCTGCTGCAGAGCTCCAGAAGGCCAAGTGATGAGTTCATGTGGTATTATCTGACGTAATGGCACAGCTTTCGTGGGGTTTTGCAGTTTGCTTTAGGGGGGCAGGGGAGGTTTTGGGGGTTTTTAAGGTCTTCCCCCTGCCCTTTCTAATTCATAGGCTGAACTTTTAGTACGGAAGGGCCAAGGCAGGCACAGGCAACAAAACAATAGAAAGAGACACAAAGAGGGGAGCATTGTTTGTTAAGCAAGGAAAGCTCGTATGCTGGTGGATGTACGTACGAAGAACTATGCCGCGCCTGAGAGCTTATAATATTACTGACCCTGACAGAACAAAACTGGATGCCTTTTTCCAGAAAAGTGTCCATCAGTGAAAAGTTTGCATCACTAAGAATTCAGTGAAAACAGGAAAAAAAGACCTTCAGGGTTTGACACAGTCAGTAAAAGGACAAAAGCATCAGTGTGGAGCAGAGGGCTTTGTGCTAGGCCTTTTGGGTTTTTTCTTTTGTTTAAAATACAGCTGTGCTGTAGAGCCAACACAACGTTCTCTATCAGCTTAGAGCAATATTGAGTAATACACATCATAACTCTGTATTACACATTACACTTCCTGCAAATATTGTAGCTCAGTAGGGGCCTATGTAGTTTGGTTTTTAAAATGACTACCTGCATGTCACAGTACTTTTACTTAGTAACGCCCTGAATTTGGAAGGTGTACAAGTTATGGCCTAATCTCCGTTCTCATCGGTAACTCCTAGATACGTAGCAAGTTAAGGGAGTCCAGCAACTTCACACCTATCAGCTGAACTCCAGTAACTGGCTGTGCTCCTCAGCTGATGTTGGGTAACTTACCATGAGAGGAACTGGCACACAAGTTTTGAGTACACAATGAACTACCTCACAGTCTGTTCCAGGGCAGCTGTATTATTTGTTCTCATTATTTTCTACAAAGTGATATCAAAAGAAGAGAAAAATTCTCTTTTAAATAGTACGTCTCATTGCAGAATAGGGCTAACATTTTGATAAATATTTCTTCGTTATTATCACAAGTTTTTAACAGTTTGTGATGGCACAAGTAGACACACATACACCAGAATTAGTCAGAAGTAAAGGTCCCAGAGCTGAGCTTTTGCTATTAGCAGACAAATTCAATGAATTCCTTATCATTAGGCTTAGGAGTACTCAGATTCCAGACTATTTTTCCTCCTTGTAGAAAAACATAACTGTGACCTTGATTTTTTTATCTACACTTCTGGCTTGAGCGTTACAGATATTTGTGACTATGCCACAGAACTTGCTCATTCATGCTTCACTGAAAGTCAAACAGACAGATACACATCAGATCCACCTTTGGAAAGCAGTCCCGTTCACTCCATTCCAATGCAAGCCTGTACACTACTAACCCTCCAGGCACATGAGACTGGTAAGATCAACGAAACATTTAAGCATGAAAGTTCTCCATGAACTTCCATTCCCAGAAGTCTGATGTTGACCATTTCAGGTGCAAATGCACCAAAACTAAGCAGAGGTCGCAGAACTGACCCATTGCCCTGAAAACTTCAGTCTTCAGGCTTGTTTCTGTTGTTACTTGTGATACACAGGCACTCGGTTCTATTGTCATCATTTGCCAGGTGGAGCTCCATGCATTCTAGCTGTTCGTTGACATAGAGGGCAACACCCCCTCCTCGTCTCCCCTGCCTGTCCTTGCTGAACAGTTTATACCCCTCTAGTCCAACGCACCAATTGCAGGAGTCATTCCACCATGTCTCTGTGACGCCAATCAGGTCATAGTGCTGCAGGCTCACAAGCATCTCCAGCTGCTCTTATTGCCCAAGCTGCAGGCATTCATATAGAGACATTTGAGTTGGGTCCCTGATGAGGTACCTGGAGCCCCCTGATGATGCTCAGATGTTTCCACAGTAACTAACCCCTCAACAACCCCTGTGCTCTGTCCACAACCCGGCATGACACCTTGATCCCTTGCTAATTCACAAGACTGCGTGATCTTGCTAGTGCATTCCTCCCCCACAAGCACTGGCATACTGCATTCCGGCTCCCTTCCAGTGATCCTGATTTCACCCCCACCCTCTTTCATACCTAGTTTAAAGCTCTATGAGCCCTGCCAACTCCCTTCCCAAAACTCCTGTCCCTCTGTGGGACAGGCTATTACCATGCATTTCTAACAGACCTGGCCTCTTGTAGATCCAGCCACTGTCAAAAAAACCAAACCCCTGCTGGACACACCAGGCTCAGAGCCAGGTATTAATCTGCTGGTACTTCCTGCCTAATCCCTCATCTTTGCCCACAACTGGAGGGATAGAGGAGAACATGACCTGTGTTCCTGATCCCTTGACCTGGTGCCCCAAGGCTCTGAAGTCCTTCTTCATTGTCCTTGGAGTGGTTCTTCCTAATTCCTCACTGCCTACCTGAAACAACAAAAGGGAGTAATAGTCTGAGGGCCGTACTAGGGAAGGAAGCTTCTTCCTGACATCTTCAACTCTGACCCCTGGGAAGCAACAGACCTCCCTGTGCAGCGGGTCCGGTCTGCATATCGAGCCTTCTGTTCCCTTAAGCACTGAGTCACCAATGACAATGACCCGTCTTTTATTCCTTACTGATGAGGTTTTAATGCCGACAGCAGTCTGACTAGGCTTTGGTGACACCTCCAAGCAGGGAGAACCAATATCCCCACTGTTTTCCAGTTCCCCTTGCAGAGCACTGTACCTGTTATGCAAGGACACCTGGGGGGGCGGAGGAATTGCCAGGCAGTTGCGCTTGCCACGCGGAACAGGGACCTTGTGCCATTGCCCCCTGTCCCCTAATTCTTCACATTCCCTGATCCCCTTTAACCTCTCCACTTCTTCTTTCAGCTCTGCCACAACCAGATTATGGAAGCTGTCAATTTCCCTCTCCCTTTCCCTAATTATTCTTAACCTACTCACCTCCTCTCTGAGCTCCAGCACTTCATCCTGGAGCTGCACCACCCGGCTTAGCAGGTCATCAACCTGCTCGCACCTCACACAGCCATCCTCAGGATTGCTCCCAGCTACCAGGCAAAAGCTATGACATTCCTCACAGCCTGTGACCTGAACACGATATCCCTTTGAGTGGGTGCTGAAAGCACAATTCTCCTCCTCCAAGATGCCACCATGACTCCTTGATAAAGTGAAGCACTTCAAATCCTGTCCAACGAGCTGTAAGCAGCAGCAGTTGCCCCCTTGTTAGGCAGGAATAGTAGGCTTCCTTGCCTCGTACTCAGTGAGCAAAGACCGATTTCATGTTTAAGAGTTTCGCATATCTCAATTTTTCATGATCAGCCTCAGAAAACTCTGCTCATCTCCAAACGCCGATTGTCTCCCAATATTGTTGATGCAACTAAAGCAAATAATTGGCCTCAGCAAGAAAACAGTCATGTCCCTAACCCCTCATGGCAGCAAAGTGTATATTCCGCCTGCAAGTATGGCTTTCATTATTTTCAGGATGTCTAGGCTTAGAGATTCTATCAATAATCCGACATTTACATTAGCTGGATCCAAAGAGCTGCCTGTGCCAATCACACTTGTGTTATACCAGTAAATACTTGAAGGCCAGGTCCATTAAGTAACTTTCTAGGTACTGTTAATGCCTCTCTACTGATGTGTCAATGCCTTGACATCCAAGAGGAGGAAGAATCAGCCATCTGAGCGGTCAGGGAGACAGCCTGCCCCCCCCCAGCAGACACTGCACATGTAAGTTTTCCTTTAGATACAGGTTATTTGGACAAGACTCTGGAATAAATTGCCCAGAGAAGTTGTGGATGCCCCCTCCCTGGAGGTGTTCAAGGCTAAGTTGGACAGAGCCTTGAGTAGCCTGATCTAGTTGAGAGGCGTCCCTGCCCATGACAGGGTGGTTGGATTAGATGATCTCTAGTGTCCCTTCCAGCCTATGCCATTCTATGATTTTATGATTGACTCAGGAGAGAGGTTTCAGGAGAACAGCCCATAACCTCCCTCAGTCAGTGCTCAAGCAAAAAAAGAGGATTCCTGAAGCCACATGCTATCTACAGTCATTACCACGACTTGAATATCATGTAGGTAACTTGAAGCTTGTGCACATGGGCAAGCTTTGGTGGCTACTGTCAATACAGGCCTGGGTCAAAAGCAGTCCCAAACACTGAAATGTTTTTATTTATTTAAAGATTGAGAGCTATGACCAGCAACATGTACATACAAGGGAAAAAAAAGTGACATCCTTAAGTTGGAGGAAAAAATTTCAATTACTGCAGTGGTAAATGTAAATCAGTTCTGAGACCTAGCCACCTAATTGTCCATTAAGATATCAAAAAAAAAAATTCTCCTTTTAATTTAGCAGTCCTAAAAGAGAACCCAAGAAAATACTAAGCATTACTCATAGTGGAACTACAGGACAGAGCTTTCTACTCATGACTCATCCAATAAAAGTGAAAGCAGTTCATAAGCAGATTCTGAAAAGTTTCAAAGCTCAAGATGAATTTACCTTTTAAGAAAACCCACATTTCAGTAAGAAGGGGAAGAAAAAAAATCAGTTACAGGAAAATAGGGCAGTGGTTACAGCTAGGGAATGAAAATAAGGAAACCATCCTGCTTTCCACAACAAGGTTTGTCACCAACTTCTTCCCAGCTACATAGTAATTTATCTAACCTCTCCATATTCTGACGTAATGATGTATCAAATTCTGCTCTCTTCAGTGCAGTGACAGATTAGGTTTGCAATAATGTTATTTGGGGGGAGACTTTTTTGCTTATTTACAGCCCTTGAAGATCAAGTTGATTTTAAACTATCTGTCCAAATCTAGTTCCAAGAATTGCAGAGTTCATAGGTGCGAGAGTGGAATGGCTAGTGCACAAAAAAAGGTTTTTTAAAAAATGGGGAATTGTTGACCACTAACAAGAGATGACTAAAAGCGGAATTCTGTAGGGAATAAACATGGAGAAATAGGTCAGGAATCTTAGTGTCCTAGATCCCCTAAAAGATTAGAAGAATAAAATAGAGCAAAGTTAAAGTTCAGAAAGGAAATGGCTTTTTGTAAAACATGTGCCACTTGTTCCCACTAAGTCACTACGACCGAGAAGCTAGTATCACGTAATCACAGAATAGTGGAGGTTCAAAGACCTCAGCAAACTTCAAAAAAAGAACATTCTTATGGCTAATACAAGCTACCAAAGTTACAATTAATTAAACCAATTTTAAAATCAAGTCTCACACCTCAAAACTGTTGCTACTGGTATTGCATCCCTGCCTTAGGATGTCATTGAACATTTGGCTTCTGATTTTAACTGAAGATCAATCTTTTCCAGGATAACAGGGAGCTAAACTAAAGAACCGGATGAGGCCAGGAGGAGTCAATGAGAAGGACAGACTTTAAAGCACCCAACAGCCCTGCCACTGACTTCAGTGGTGAAATAAGACAAAAATATTTTGTACGTTTAGGAGTTAAGATTGACTGGGACTTTTCTAAAATTACACATACAGAAAAACAGCTTCTGCAAATAATTATCGGGTCATACACCCATAAAAGTCAAGAAAAGATATTTTATTACCTGCTCATCTTATTTACAGAATAGAGCCAATATTAGTCAGCAAAAGTAGCTGCTTGCAAGCAAGAAGGCTTCAAACAGTAAGGAAGGGAGGTAATTAAAATGAGGGAAATCCAAAACACAGTTATACCTACCAATCATGTCATCTAAATTGTACTATTTTATTCATTAAAAATAAAGTTCTGAAGCAAAGATGCCATATTTTATGCGAGTTCTTGATTACCTTTCTGCCGAGGGAGCATGTAATTTACAAGAAAGAGGACTTAAAGCTTTAAGTGCCTCTGACTTAATTCAGCATGCTGTATTGATGGTCCCATTTAGATGATTCCATTTTAGGCCCCGCTAACGCATTAAAGGCATGACTTACTCACATCCATTTGGCTAATGATCCTCTACTGCTCTAAAGTAAATGACAGCTATTTACAGTAAATTATTCAATTAGATAGAGGGAAGTGCAGTATTCATTTTATATTGTTTGACACGGCAAAACAGAAGTGTGCAAGAAGGCAGGTGGGGCATTTTAATCTTTCAGAATCAATTGTTTAATCCACAGCAAGAGAATAAATATACTCCACAATACTCGTCAGCGTCAGACTTTTATTGTAAACATTCTAAGAGAGACTGAAGTGTTGCAACTTCAGATAATATAATTCTGTCCACTTCAGAAGTAAGTCATCATACAATGCAAGAAATGCTAGTAACCAGCATCTTATAGGACTGATTTATTTTAAGCACAATTTCAAGTAACAAAGTGACTTTAAAAAAACAACACCACCACCCACAAAAAAAACACACACATGCTAGCAGGAGACCAAATTTCCATTAAAAAAAAAAATTAGGCATGAGCAATTCTGAATCCTATTTATTTGTAATAGGATTTATACTACTAAGTGCCTACCTCACTTTCAGAAACAAGACTGAATCTCCCAAGACATTTGGATAGTGGGGTATTTTTAATTCATTAAATCCCAGGAAAGGGCAGCTCAGCTGCCCTCACAAATTAAGATGAGGATTCAGAAAAATAATGAAATAAAGGAGAAGCTAGAGGAGTGCAAGTTGGGGCTAAAACACAGCCTAGAACAAGGGAGAATGATCACACCGCAATAACTCAAAAATAGTCTTGGATTTGAAGACCTTTTCACATATTCTTCTATTATTTTCCAAGCACTGAAGGGCGTGCTTGCATGCATGAGCATCCGTTACAATCCCCACTGCATACACTACTATGGCCACTGCACCTGGAAAAAGGCTGAAGCCACAACTTTGATGTCCCCTGTCAAACCCCTGCCTCATAAAAGAGAAAATAAAGGAGAAATTTTCCTTATTATGGGTATGAACACAAAGTCTAAGGTGCAGGTAAGACTACTACACATTCTGAGCCTTCCCGTGACCACGCTTTGCACAGTTCTCAGGCCTCTCAGCATTCAATACAGAGGGGAAGGAAAAAACAATTTGTCCAAGCCCTCCTGGCTAGCCCTGATTTTGGAGAACTTCTTCCGCTAGCCCAGAGTGCCTCAGAACACGTGCAGAGAGCCCCAAATAGAAGAACACTTTCCTCTGGCTAACCTGCCAACGCATTTAATTTTCTGCAGGCAGAGGGCCAAGTTCAGCAAGCACAGCTCCTGCTAAGTTTAATGGGAGCTGCACTTGCCAATGCCAGAAAGTGAAGATTGCTGGGGAACTGCAAGCAACACACTACAGAAAATACAACTGTAGCCAGCATCTGTGTTCAAAGGATACAGAATGGGAATAGCCATTTGTTTTCTTACTGTTTCACTTCTCCTAAAGCTGCTGGCACAATGCAACCCCTCCTACTCTTTGTATGCAATCACTCACTTCCATGAGCAAGGATTCCAGACTGGCTGTTTGTAACGATGCATTTAGTTATGAGACCAGCTTACCGCAACTAGGCTACTATGAATTTCACTGTTATTTGGTACCCATACACCCAAAAGTTCTGGCCAGATTGTTCAGAAGACCTCCTACATACATGGCTCATGAATTCCTAAGGAAGATCTGCATTTCAATGGCTCCAGAGCCTGTTTTCTGCAATTCCATACTACTTGCTTATCTTGTTAGCTACCTTCCCCCCCCTCTTATGAAAGATTTATTGTATTTTCATTTCTAGCTCTACCAGAACCTGATTTGTTAATTTTAGTCCAGGTTCTCAGTGGCTTTAAGCTATGGCTGCTATGTCAATTTTTACTGGGCAAAAATTACTCCATTATTATTTGCAGAAACTCAAAAATCCCCTCCCTTCAAAATACCTACAGTAAAACAATAGTACTAACAGTTCTAGACCTTAGCAAGCAATATTTGGTCTTTCAGGCTCTTATCTTTGCTTGACCCACACCTCTTCATACAATGTCTTCCTTGTCTGCCCTTCTGCTCTCAGACTAAACATACTTATATCTAATGACATTCCCTTTGGTGCACAAGGAAGTGGCTTGGACTTACATTCTTTAAACGCACAACGATCGTCTGAAACGGTCCACAGCTAATTTCCACTGAAAAATTATCTGTCTGAAAGGCACTGAGTTAAACCAGATTGCAAGCCAATCCTTCATCTAATAAGAAGTCAAGAGTAGTGAAAATCCTTTGTATGGCACTTGAAATCACCCAGGAATTCCAAACTATAT